AAAAAAAAAAAAGAGAAACTTTTGGGTGTAAAGCCACTGAGATTTTGGAACTCATTTTTTTAATCATTGCATAGCTTAAACTCTTCTGACTAATACAACAACATACTTTAAATTTTATTTAAACCATTGGATTTTAAAATATTTAAAATACTCTTATGTAGGCATATTATTGTATGTGTGTAAAATATATGATTACAAACTTTTGGTCATAAATTTTTCATGTGCAACAAACAAAATGAACCATGAATTATTGTCTCTTTTTGGTTTTGCATCTATTAAACACCTGATGCTAAGATTGTTACCAAGGATAGGCAATGCGATTAGGAGTCTAGAAGTCAAATTTTCTCCACAGTGAATAGAGCTTGATACAGGCTGTGGTCTCAGGAAATTCAGTAGAGTGGGAAGAGGCCAGGCATAGGAACGAGGAGATTTAGAAGCCACAGGATATTCAGGATCACTCTGTGCCCCTCCTCACTGGGTCCCTCACTGGTCTGTCCCCTTTGGAACTGCGGTGGCAGTGGTGATCAGTGCTTCTTCTCAGTTACATCTGGTCTTACGTTATCTTTCCATTCATTACTCAAAGATCTGCTGAGCCTGGGAAGGGATCTCATGTCAGGAGGTGGGAACTCAGAGCCCTAAGCCAGCCCTTAATGACCTCACAGTCTAGTGAAAAGTTCCCTACAGTCAGTTCAGATCCGTTTTTCCATCCTCGATTACTACGGTCTGCTTTGAGTTGCTTCACACTATGTAATTCTGGCAGAGTCATCTACATTTTCCATCTCTGAAACTTACTCAAGAACAGCCAGGTTTTGTGTTCGAGAGCGAACAACTGTGAAAACTTGTACCTCTGGAGGGGGTAAAGGCTGGGAGGGGGAAAACCCCCAGCAGACATATGCCCCGTTCATGAATGTGCCCTCGTCAAGTGTCCTTCACACGAAATGTGGCATTTCACGGGAAGACCATCTCAAGCATCCCCCTTTTCTCTATCACTGACATTCAACTTGAAATGTTCTCTTTCCATATACAAGTCAAAGCAAGACTTTTCCAAGTGTCAGCTCCACAAGCTCAAGCTAGTTCTTGGCAGTGAAGTGGGTTCCCTTTTGCCCCTGGCAGAGTATTAGTAAGCAAAGCACAGCTAGCTGAGAAGAGCTGCATCGATGGACTGGGGCCCCAGGTGCGAAAGAGCTCCTCGGTCCCAGCCTGCCAGGTTCTCTCAAGACATCTGCCACTGATCCGGAGGGGTTCAGGGTGTGCATTCAAGGATGACAGAGCTGCATCCTTTTTTTTTTTTTTTAAACTTTTGAAGGGCAAAGGACCAGCTTGTTCTCTCTGCAGCTAGACGAGCTGTACCCGCTGCAGGCAAACAACCAGCATTTGTCAGCAAGCTGCACCAACAAGATGCAGAAGAGAGAGCCCAAGCAGAGGAGGGCAGCTCAGACGCACGTGGTGCCAAGCCCCCTCAGGTAATCCTTTGCAAACTCGATGGTAATCAATGCCACCCCAGGGCACCAGATGAGCCCACAGAAAGCTCTTGCACCTTTGGCTGAATGTGGCTGTAGACTAGCATTTGGGGAGAGTATCTGTTGTTTCCAGGCAGGACAGATTGCTGAATACAAAAGTGATTCTTTTGACATTGATAAATAATGTGACTCATGATTCCCCGCACAGAAATTGTGCAAACCCTTAATTATCAAGACACTTTCTCAGGGGCACATTAGAACATATGCTGAATTGAGTTACCTTCACCTTTGCCAACGCTTTTGAAACACGGTGCGGTAAGCTGCCCTTAGAAGTTTTTGCTTTTGTTTGTAAATCATCAGTTCAAACTGCACGAAGGTTTCCAGGAATTAAAAAGAGAAACAGCCCAGAAAACATTACATAGAGTAAGATTCCTGAAGTAGGTTTTCTTTTTTTTTTTTTTCCCCTCCTGGCGAACAGGTCACAAGATTGCAATTCTAAACAATCTTACAATTAATTCTTGAGCTATGCAGTCCAATTAGAACAAATGCTTTCTTTCTCGTTTAATTAGAGATGAGTGCGCGCCTGTGAGCTTATTTGTATAAAGTAAGTGCTCATTGAACAAGGTTTGGATCAGGCTCAGCTTGTTAGAAATGCCCTGAAAAGGCTGCTTTCTCTCACTGTCTCTGGCCCCTTTAACCCCTTGCCCAGAATGAACTTGTTAGATGTGGAGAATATAAAGAGTACCTTTGTGGCAACCTGGTGAACTTGAAAGAGGCAATGCATTTGCTGGAGTTATTGGGAAAGAAGCCCAACCTCTCAGCTCTGCACACCTAGCATCTTTCTGACCTTCTGCATCCACTGCAGGTGGGAGATCCGGCTCATATCTGATGAAGCCTGCTCTGTTGTAGCAAGAGCAGACTTCTGTGTGATAGGTGCTTTTGAATGTCTCATTACGCAGAGTGTGAGCCTCGGGCCAGCAACAGTTCTCAGACCCCCACCCTAGACTTGTGAGAATCTGCATTTTTTTTTAAAGATTTTATTTATTTATTTGAGAGAGAGAATGAGAGAGAGTGAGAGAGCACATGAGAGGGGGGAGGGCCAGAGGGAGAAGCAGACTCCCCGCTGAGCAGGGAGCCCGATGCGGGACTCGATTCCGGGACTCCAGGATCATGATCTGAGCCGAAGGCAGTCACTTAACCAACTGAGCCACCCAGGTGCCCCGAGAATCTGCATTTTAACAAGATCCTCAGGTGTTTCGTGTTCACGTTACAATCTGAGGAGCACATTGGACTAAAGGCAGCAAATGATGATTTTATTTTAAAAGACAAAGGACCCTTGGGAGCCTCCAGAATGCCACTTACATTAAAGAGAATCAGCCCTGAGCCCTCTCTCTACAGTGGGGGGATTGCCACTTTGACCCCCCCTTATCACCATACTCTCTACTAAAGATTCAAATGTGTCCCCTCCTGCCATCCTCTAGTGAGCTCCCCTGACCGAAAGGCCCCGGGTCACGAGCCCCTCCCCACATCTGTGCCTTGGCCTCTTACCCACCCCTTCAGCTCTTCTAGGTCTCTGGCTACAGGGAGAGAGAGGATTCTTGCCCTGGAGGGGCTCGCTGTCTCATGGATGGATGCTGGAGGGAGAGAATGAGTGGAAATAGTCACAGGACACCCAATCCTAAGATGAGATATGTTCATCACTAGATCCAATGTTGGAAAGGCCACACAACCTGGAAGGAGGGGGGCCCTGTCTCCACGGGGAAGGCTCCATTATGTAGTACATGCTTGGCAAGTTAAGTTCTCTTTAATGCATGACAGTCTTGGAAGTTGCTTCTTGGCGCATGTCGTGCCGGGATACTACATAATACACAGAGTTTGTCCTTTGTTTTCCCATTTATTTCATCCAGAAAGTAAAACTTGGGTATAACAAGATGGCAGCATGAGGAAAGTTACCAACAGGGCTGCGGACCTCTTTGCTCCCTCCTGTTGTTCAGCTCTGGACTTTCCTCAAACAGCCTGGGGTGAGGAGATATGATCTGCTCTTGCTTTGCCACATGGTGCCTAGAACAGGGTTGAGCAGGTAGTATTAAACTTCTGTCCTTCCAACCTAGACATAGAGACTAATGTCATGGTTAATGAGGATATTGAAGGAGACCAGACTAGCAGGTGAGTCATCACCAATGAGTCTCATAGCTGGCCCTGGTCTGACCTGGTATCCTGCTTACTGCCTCTGCCCTAGAGGTGGACCCAGCCCTGCAGCCCTCACCACATTGTCTCGATGCTGGGGCAGGACTAAAGGCATCTGCACAGCCTCGGATGTTCCTCCCCAGCCCTCAGCTCCAGCCTGTGAAATGCCCTGGCTCTCCCATTCCTGCTCCCTTTACCTTTTGCTGGTGAAACAGAAACCTGGAGGAAGACCTGGGAGGGGAATGAGGAATGACACCTTGCTCCCTCTCAGTAAGTGTGATTTCCTTAGACCATGATGATCGTGTGGTACATTAACTCACCATCATCGTCAACTGGAGTGGGATGGTGGAAGGAGATGTGAGGGAGGCAGGCTCAGCTTGGGTGAGACTGGATCTGGAAAAGACAAGAGTGAGGAGCTAGGATCAAGTAACCATGTAGCTTGGTTTTGGGAGCTGGGATCACGTAACCATGCAGTTTGCTGGAAACCTTGAACGTGATTCTGAAAAGTTCAACTGGAGTTTTAAATAAGAGCTTTCAAGTAATTTTGGTAATTTTTAAAAATCACATAAGCAAAATATGTTCAATGTTTAAGAAAATGAAATTTGAAATGATCAACCATTGCTTGTCAATCTACCACTTTTAAACACTTTGGTATATTCTATCCTCCCACATTTTATGCAGATAGAGATATAAACACATAGAGAAATTTCTAGATTTAAATTTTATATAAAACAGAATCACACACACACAAAAAAAAAACCAGAATCACAGTACACATACAAATGATCTTCTACAATATCATTTTCACTGACTGTATAGTTTTATACTGGTGCATATATTACAGTTTTTGAAGCTAAATTGCTACAAATTATTATTGTGCATTTAGGTTATTTCCTCATCTACATCTATTCACCTACCTACCTATCTATATCTATCACCTTTTTATTTTTACTATCTTAAACAGTATTAAACTACATTATTATAGTTAAGTCTTTACAATATCTTTAATAATTCCCTCAGAATATGTTAAATATATCATTGCTTGGTTAAAGGGAATCTGTAATTTATGAATTTTGAATCTTATTGTCAGATTGTCTTCCAGAAAGCTTATACCAATTTTTACTCTCTTGTGAGATATACCTTTCTCACTCTAGCCAATGGATTTTGGGGAAAAATCCCTTTGGGTTTGGAGGCCAACCATCAGAGTTAACTTCTAACACAGTTCTACTCAGAACTGTTCTTGGGCTCTCCTTTAATGACAGAGAAGGTAAAATATGAGCCTTCAAGAGCCTAGAATCCAGATGATGGCATTTGGAAACTTTGTTCTCATTGCCAGTCTTCCTAACTACTCAGGAGGGCCAATTAAGCAACGGAAGCCTGGGGCTCTGGAGGGTATCTGGGACAGGTCTTCAGTTGTGTGATGTCTGGATGCCAACTGGGGGCTCCACGGGATCAGAAGAAATGGCCGCAGGTTCCACAATGGCTGAGACGCCATTGCAGCAGATGCTAGAGCTAAGGTCACCCATTTCCTCCAGGAGCTTGGTGTAGTCTGCTGAGTGAGCCATAGCCACAGGAAGCAAGGAAAAGCACAAACGTATGGCGGATTCAGAAAGGAAATCAACTGAGGGAGGAAGGAAGACCAACCTGACTGATCAACTAGAAGGCTATGGCTCCAGAGTGGAAGAAATGAAGAAGAGCATAACTTAAAAAAAAAAAAAAAAAAAGGAAACTTTCAAGGAGACACATTCACAGAGACCCCTAAAAAGAAATTTTCAGCTAAAATACACATTTTGCAAAATAAGACATTTAATGGAAGAACTGATAAAGGGAATAGTCACTGCTGATCACTTTAAATTAAAGATCTCATTAAGGAAACATGCAAGAGAGAGGGAATAGTGAGTGAAATTATGAGATTTGGAGAATTAAGATGTTATAAGCAGTGTTAAGAAATTTCAATAGGAAAAAAAAGAATAGATGGAGAAGTTTTAAATAAATAAAAGGAAACATTTTGAACTAAAGAAAACTTCAATTTTGAAGTTGAAAGGGTTCAGCAAATGTCATGCAAGATTAATAATAGTATTAATAATACTAGTAATACAGACCTGACCAGAGCTGGCCAGTAGAGCTTCCTGCAGGGATGGAAATGCTCTGTGCTGGGCAACATGGTGGCCACTAACCACACAGAGCTCTGGAGTGTGTGAAATGGGGATAGTATGGCCAAGGAACCGACTTTTAAATTTTATTTAATTTTATTTAACTAACATTTTCACTTAATTAGTCAATATTAGTGCTTCCCACTTTGGACAGCTTAGATCTAGACATATCCTGGTGAAATTTCTGAAATACAAGCCTCAGTGTCAAAGCTATAAACTTCTAGACAAGTACAAAAGCCTGTCTTCAAAGTCTAGAGAATCAGATTTGTATCTGACTTCTCATCTGCAATACCAGAAGTTAAAAGAAAATAGAAGCACATCTACAAACTATTAATAGAAAAATATATGATTAAAAAAAGTCCTCTATTCTGCCAGGATAACAATCTTTATAAGGAGAAACGAATGTGATACTTTTACGTATGTTACTATTCAGAAAATTTCAAGAAAGTACTCTGTAAAATGTAAATAAAAACAGAGCAAAGATTTACATGCAGAAAAGATAACATGTCCCAGAAACTTTGGTGTATAATGAATCTGGATGTGTATTAGATGTGTGCTAGAAAGGATGATGGTGTCAATGGAAACTGTGATTTAAATATTAAATAGTTTCTTCAAGAACAAAAAATTAGGAAAATCTAGAGACCAGGAAAAACCAATAATAATCTGGTAGAACAACAACAAAACTCTATTATGTCTGCACACAGAGAACATACCATCTTCTTTTATAATTCATAGAATAAGGACAAAGATCAATTTGTCTTCAGTTAGAATAAAACCCTAACAAATTTCAAATAAGGGAGATTTTATAGATCACATTCTTTGACCATAATCTTTTACCCCCAAATCCTCAAACCTAGAAAAGCAATAATGAAAAGATGTCACCCAAAAGCTTGATTTGTTGAAATTTTAGAAATATTTATCTAAATAACTTCTCATATGAAAGAGTAAATAAAGATCGGAATTACAAATCATACAGAAAAATTAAAATGAAAACTTAGTGGATGCAGCCAAAGCTGTGCTGGGAGAAAAATTTATAATACATCATTTTTATTATATTTAAGTAAATAAACTAGATAAAGAAGAATACAATAAACACAAGGATTATGAGAGGAGGACTGATAAAAATAAAACTTGAAAGAAATTAAATTAAAACAAACAACATAAAGAACTATTTTTTTTAAAAAGATGAAATACACAAACCCATAGAATGGCCTGGAAAATTGACAGGAAACAAAAGATACAACATTAAGAGTGGAATATGAAGTATAAGAACAGACATTAAAAAGAGAAAAGTTACAGGTGGGTACTTTATGTGACTCTACAGTAATACTTTTAAAACATACTGGAAATTGGTGATTTAAAAAATGTATATATAATTAGCCCAATGATGGTAGAAAAATAAACATACCAAAAATTTACCCAGCTCTGTTGATATTCACAGCTAACACCCATTTTATATTCAAAAAATAGTTCCTATGTTATTGAAATTTTCTGTATATAGAAAATTATAGAAATGTCCTAATTCATTTCAAATCTATTATAATCTTAATACCAAAGATTATAGAACAATAAACAAATGAATAAGTACTTTATATAAGTAATTAGCAAGTAAAATCCAGCAGTATATTGAAAGAATGCTTATTACAACATAACCCAGGAGGGCTTGTAATTGAAGGAATGGTTCACCATCAGGAAATCTAAAAACATAATTCTTAATTCAGTTGTAGGAGAAAGATGAAAAAATATCAGTAGATTCTAAAGTACATTACAAAATTTGGACAATAGATAAAAATTCTACCTCGGCTTAGGTGCACCTGGGTGGCTCAGTTGGCTGTCCAACTCTTTGTTTCAGCTCAGATCATGATCTCATGTGCCCAGGGGTCCAGCCCCAAGGCGGGCTCCAGGCTCAGTAGGGAGTCAGCTTGAGATTCTCTCCATCTGCCCCTCCCTCCACTTGTGCATGTGTGCGTAAGCATGCGCACTCCCTCTCTAATAAATAAATCTTAAAAAAAATTCTACCCCAGCTTAGAAGTTAACTGAGTAAATATGCTGAACACTGTGAGCCAATACATGAGTGGTAAAATGCTAAAGCTGTTTCTATTAAATCAAAAAGAAGAGAAAATGACACTACTATTGGACACTGAAGCTGCTAGAAAAGGAAGTTGGCAAAATATATGTTAGAATTAAAAATCCTCAAAATAATATTTGTTTTCAGAAAATATTAATATATTCCTAGACAACTTGAAAGATTATCAAAAAAATATTTAGAATTCATAAGAGATTTTGATAAAGTATATGAAGGTGTGTATATATATAAAATATATAAATAATATATACAATATAATACATAAAATATATATTATGTAAATTTTATATATTTACATATTTATTTTATATTATTATAAATATTTATATATTTATGTATGTATAAAAATCAATAACCCCTTTCTTGGATATAGCAATAAGGGATTAGGGGAAATCCCATTTAAAATAGGTACAAAAACTATTAAAAACCTTCAGGAATAAATTTTTTTTCTATTAACATAATGTATTATTTGTTTCAGGGGTACAGGTCTGTGATTCATCAGTCTTACACAATTCACAGCGCTCACCATAGCACATACCCTCCCCCATGTCTGTCACCCAGCCACCCCATCCCTCCCACCCCCCTCCACTCCAGCAACCCTCAGATTGTTTCCTGAGATTAAGAGTCTCTTTTGGTTTGTCTCCCTCTCTGGTTTCATCTTGTTTCATTTTTCCCTCCCTTCCCCTATGATCCTCTGTCTTGTTTCTTAAATTCCTCATATCAGTGAGATCATATGATAATTGTCTTTCTCTGATTGGCTTATTTTGCTTAGCATAATACCCTCTAGTTCCATCCACGTCGTTGCAAATGGCAAGATTTCATTTCTTTGATGGCTGCATAATATTCCGCTATGTATATATGCATCTTCTTTGTCCATTCATTTGTTGATGGACGTCTAGGCTCTTTCCATAGTTTGGCTATTGTGGACATTGCTGCTATAAACATCGAGGTGCACGTGCCCCTTTGGATCACTACATTTGTACCTTTGGGGTAAATACCCAGTAGTACAATTGCCCCCAGGAATAAATGTAATCAGAACAAAGAATACTATCAAACTTTATTTAAGGACTTAAGGTAGAAACAAAGAGCGAAACATACCATGTTCTAGAGGAAAGTCTTAACATCTGAAGTCTCAGCTGTCATGAAATCAGTGGTTACATGAAAGGCGTTCTCATGGAGCCCCTCCCTCTTCTCTTCCTGTGGAACATTAGGAATCGTACTTCTTGACTGTAAGTAAAAAATGAAAGTACAAACATGTAAAAATTTCCCATAAAAATTTGAAAAAGGAAAATACCGAAGGGTGGCAGAGAGAATTTGCCTAGCCGGATGTGAAAACATACTTTAAAATTTCTGGAATCAGAATCATATGGCATTGAAATGAGGGCAGGGACACGCTCTAAGTGAGCTCTCAGCCTCCTGGGAGGAGGTGGCTTCTGGAAGAAAACCCTCAACGGCAGGAGAAAGACACATAGAGAATTTTTCCAGTTGGTGTCTGTGGCTATTTGTTGGGATTGGACAATCCTCTCTGCAAACCAAAAATGTAATTTTATGTAAAATGCAATTTTATAATTTAAAATAATAATGACAAAGAAGTAAACATAATCTTATTCTGTGTCATCCGATGGCCACCCACAGCTAAGGACTGCCACAAAATCTGTGTCATACTTGTATTTCCAATTATGTGCCTTTAGGATTGTACTGGTGGTAAGGAGCCCTGATTTAATAATCCTGATCCTGTGCAAATAAGAACAGACGTAGATTTAAAACACTGGTGATGTGCTCGTGATGAGTGCCAAACACCAATGTGGCTCAGTGACAACAAAAGTTTACATCAGTGGGAACAACAAGGAAGCCTTAGGTCTTCACACGACAAATAATATTCTCGGCATACCCACCTGGAGAGGACCCGCTTGCCCCATAGCCCTGAGTCCCTGTTCGCTTCTGACCAGCACCTTGGTTATGGCAGTGTGCTGTGTTCATCTGAAGCTTATTGGTTTTGTAACTGTGTTTGTATTTCATTTGTGAAACAAATTTAGTTTGCTAGAGTAGAACTATGAGAATAAGGAGCTTATATCTAGTATGTGTTTGCTTACTGTAATGAAAAAGAACTTAAGTTAAAAAATTAGCATTGGCATAAGAATAAAACAACGGATCAGTGGGAAGATCAGAAGCACTGAAGAGAGAGGTCAGAAAGAAAGATGTTTTGTGAACAAAGCACAGGATTACACATTTTATTTCAGTGGGACAAGAAGGTTGGATAAATAACAGATATGGACAAAATTAACAATCCACATAAATGAAAACAAAGATCTCTGTTTTACCCTGTTTATAAAATGCATTTTAGCCAGTTTCTCCACGTGGGCACTCTTGACATTTGGGGTTGGCTAACTCTCTGTTGTGGGGGGACTTCCCATGCACTGTAGGATGTTTGGCAGGGTCTATGCCCCTCCTCCCAGGTGTGACAAACAAAAATGTGTCCGGACATTGTCATAGAGCTGGGGGAGGAAATTGCCCCCTTTAGATGTACTAAAGATCTAAATGTAAGGAAAATCCTCATCAGCATCATCAGGAGTAGCCCAAGCCACATTCGTAAAAAAATGTCTATGACTCCATGTTTAGAGGTAAAATACAGTTAAATATCTCAATCTACCCACAGGGGACTGATGGATTAAACTGCAGGGCTTCCCTGCAGGGCAGTGGTCTTTGGCTGCTAAAAAGGTCCTGGTGTATCTCACCGAGAGGCAAGTTCACCATATGTTCTGAAGTAGCAAAAGAGGTTTGCAAATACTTTCTTTAAAAAGGGAGAACAAGGGGCACCTGGGTGGCTCAGTAGGTTAAGCGTCTGCCTTCGGGCGGGTCATGGTCCTGGGGTCCTGGGATCGAGCCCCGCATCCAGCTCCCTGCTCGGCGGGGAGCCTGCTTCTCCCTCTCCCTCTGCCCCTCCCCCCTGCTCATGCTCTTTCTCACTTTTTCTCTCTCTCAAATAAAATCTTCAGAAAAAGGGGAGAACAAAGGCCTTATTTGTGTGTATGGGTGAGTATGTATACACATAAATTATTTTGCATGTTTGCATAAGTTTCGAGAACATTCTCAGGGGGCAGGGGGTGGGGGAGCGGGCACAAACCAAACCACTAGTCCTGCTCACCGTGAAAGAGCAGAGGCACCACCGTGTGGGTGGGTTTGGTTGGGCCAGCAGAGACTCTTGGCTTCATTTATATTACCAGTCCATTGTGACAAGCACATGAAGATGCTGTAATCCAAAAGGTAAAGCCAGTAGAGTTTGTGTAGTTCAAAGGCCTATCCAGTGGAGGGAGAGCACTTTATGGCTCAGTGTGCTAAGCGATATAACACAGTGATGATTATTTTTGTGGGGGGGGGGCAGAATGCCGTGGGGTTTAGTGTGTTTTTGGTTGGACAGGGATAGTGGGTCGAATAGTGGCCACCAAAAATATCTGTCTGTGTCCAAGTCCCTGAAACCAACGGATATTACCTTATTTGGAATAAAAGGTCTGTGCAGACGTAATTAAGGATGTCGAGATGGCCTCATGATACCCCAAGTGGGCCCGAAGCGCAACGATAAATGTCCTTATAAGAAAAAGGCCGAGAGAGATTTGAGACACACAGAGCAGGTCATGTGAAGAGGGATGCAGAGGCGGGTACGATGAACGCCACAGCCACCAGCCTCTGGAAGAAGCACGAAGCGGATTCTCCCCTGGAGTCTCTGTGGGGAGCACCGCCCGGACCACACCTTGACTTCAGACTTCCGGCTTCCAGAGCAGTGAGAGAATACATTTCTCTTGTTTAAGCTATCCGGTCTGTGGTAATTTGTTACAGCAGCCACAGGAAACCAATAGAAAGAGGATAATTTATGTTTTCTGGGATGGTGGAGGGAAGCTCCATTAGAAATGTGGTTGTTGTCTTGCACTTTAAAGGGAAGTGGAAAAGGGAGGCGGGGGGACAGCATGCGCAAAGGCCCAGTGGCCGAACGGGGCAGAGCTGGGTGAGTGTGGCTCAGATGTGAGACGTATTTAATTGGGAAGGTGAGGTGGGAGGTGAAATATTATGTTTTCTCCTGCTCTTTTTAGCTGAAGAAATGAGTTCACAAACAATTGAGGGCTATTTTCTAAGAAGATTAGGCAAATTCATGTCAGAGACAGAACTCCGATAAAATCTACCTTCAGGATCAAAGTTACGAGTGGGGAGGATGGCAGCCCTGCATAGTCCCCAGAAAAAGGGAATGTGAGAAGTGACTCCTGGAATTCAAAATGTGGCAGCTTGCTGGATCTTGAAGGCCCCATTCTCAGCCAGTTTGCTCACATTCCTAGCAGACGGCTTGCTTCGGCATCCATGTAATCCCTGCCAGAATGGGAAGCCCCCAAGCTAGGCAGAAAGCAAAATATTTTCATCATTTGACATGATAAAGCGTGTGGCTCTTGAGTAAGAAGAGCTGGCACAACCCTGGGCAAGTTCTGTCTCATCCCATCCACTCCAGCACCAGGGGGAAATGACTCTCCGCCAGCCCGCACAGCGGAGGGGGTCTCATGCTAGCCTGGGAGGCGACAGACGCTGTGCCCGTTCTTTGTGTACCATACCTGGCCTTGGCTTTTCCACCAGCAGGGCTCCTGCCACTGTTGAGTGCAATTTTTATTGCAGGTGGGTGTGATTCTCCTTGGTGCCCTTAGAGATGCCCAAGCAGGAAGCTTCTGGTGGTGCATATTGAGCCTAAAAAGGAATGAGCTTACATGCCAGAAATGCTTGCAGATGTATGGTTGAAAACATTTGTTGCACAGGACTGACACTATAAATAGATGTGGATAAGCAGGCAGGCAACAGTTTGCATGGGTGGCCTTGTCTTCGTGGCAGAGATAGTTCCCAGAAGCACGCACCACTGGGGCTGGCTCTGGATCCAGTGAAGCTGCCAGGTCATCACCATGACATGGCTCACAGCTGCGCTTATGCCAAGCCCTTTCCCTCACTGTTCAAAACCCATCTGCAGTCATCTCCAGAAACTTCCATGAGAGGCTGGGGGCTCTCATCTATCAGTGGTAGGCCACACATGTGAAATCCTGTCTCCTCTGTTCCACAGAGGAGGTGGAGGGTGTGTGTGTGTGTATGAACGTGGGTATGTTTGTGTGTGAGTGTATGCACACGTATATGAGTGGGTGTGTTTGTGAGTGTGAGTGCATTTGTGTGAGTGTGCACGTATACATGCGTGTCTGTGTGAGAGTGTGTGTTTGAGTGTGTTTCTGTGTACGTGTGTGCACATGCATGTGTGCCCCATGTCCCAACCCTTGGGAGCTCTGAAAGCCGGGGGCTTGTCTGCATCTCAAGGGAACGCTATGGGAGTTCTCACTAGTCCCCCAAACAGAGTAGTGCTCTCCCTGCTCTTGGGAAGGACTGGAAGCTTGGTGGGGAGCGGGGGGACACAGAGGAGGCTGCAGCCCGGGATGCATGTGTGGTGCCGGGAGCACGGAGGAAAGGGTGGTGTCTGGGGAGCAGGGGGAGAAGTAGCTGAGGAAGGATCGGGGCTAAGGCTCATCGGCAGCGTCCTTTCTCCTGCTCCTCTCCTGTGTGGGCCAGCCAGACGCAGAGGAGAGCAAGGGGGTGAGAGAAGAGAAGGTAAGAAGCCGCAGCGATTATGCAGCCCAGCAGCCGATAAGCTGGCGAGAGGAAACATAAGCAGGAAAACGCTTCTCTGGGACAGAACACTAGCTCACAGACAGTCTGAAGGCCTTTATCTGGAAGCTGGTTACAATAAAGCTTCCATGTGTTTGGGAAGAAACCAGGGACCTCATGGGCTGTGCTCCCCAAACCTTTGTTTCCCATCCCAATCTAGAAATAATGAAGGCACTGTGTGAGCTCACTGCCGTCCATGATCTCAGTCAAGGCTCACAGAGCTTAGGTCCATTTTATAAAGGGAAAAACTGAGGCTCGGAAAGGTGGAGTAACTTGTTCAAGATCAGAGTAGGATCACAGACCCAGGTCTTTGGTGACATGCCTGGGATATAACAGAAGGTCCCGGTTCTGCTTGCCCTGGGGGGCGTGCAGATATTCTTAATGGCAAAGGGGGCTTCCCTTCCCTTAGAGCACGAACGCCGAGTGCTTGTCTGGGATCTGCAGTGGGCGCCGAAAGACACCGGCTCTTGTGTTCCTCACAATCGTGGTCTGGAACAGACGGAG